CCAATCGCCCAGTTCATCGCCGACGGGAGACCAGTAGCCCTTCCCAGCCCAACTGTTTCCAGACGTGCCATAAGAGGACCATCGCCAATCTATCGGCGATTTATCACCCATCCCCTGTCGATGTTTCCCCCCCGGAGCTGCTCCCCCCCCCGTCGTTGCCTCTCGCGGATCGGGGCGCGCGAAAGTTCTCCGGAGGTCGGTTTCAGCAGAAGAGGGGCTATCAGCTTCAGTCCTCTCCTCACCATTCGAAGGCTCAGGGAGGATCTGGAGATCCGCTCTAGACGCGAACGTGTTCCATGATGGGTAAATAACAGTCTTGACGTGAAGGAGGAGAGATGAGAAGATGAGTAGCACAACGTAGTAAATCGCAGATGCATGACAAAGAGGACACAGGCATGGATGCGGGCTGCGACGGGGTTGGGAACCAGGACGAACACCAGGAGCAGGAGGACCGCGTCGAGGATGAGCACGAGGAGGAGCACGAGAGTGAGGATGATGGCGACAAAGATGATGAGGAGGGGAAGGCTGGGGCAGGAGCATCAGACGCTGGAGGGAGAGGCTGGGTCGGGGCCACCTGTGCCGCTGACCCCCGAGGGGCCAGCAGTGGGAACCGCCGGCCAAGCTGGCAATGCTCAGCCCTCCTTGCCGCACCACTCCGAGCGCGGCCTGCCCGCGCGGCCGCGGAAGCAGCCCGTCGTCGCGACAGCCTGTAGGGCGCAGGGCGGAGCCCGAAATCTGGGCGCCGACCGTCCCCGCGTCGAGACCGCGGCTGGCAGTTGGCGGCAGACGCCGCCCTGCTGCGGAGCTGGAACATCGAAAAAGACTCCACGGCCCTCCGCCGGGGGGACCCTGGGGAGGAGCCGGGGAGGAGCTGGTCTCGACCGCCCGGGGGACGGGGCGGCCTACGGATGGGTTGGCCTCGCAGCGTCGGTCCGCACGATCAGGCGTCTGGTTTCGGAGAGGGGCCCGACGCTGCAGAGAGGTTCCTCCGTGGATCGTGCTCTGCCCCTCCTCGTGCCTCTGGGCATGCCGGGCGCCCAAGATTTGCGTCGTTCCCTGTGCAAGGCTCCTCGTGCCAGAACTTTGACTGCGGAGCCCCCTCCCCCCTTGAGCTGTGAAGCTTAGAGTGCTGCGGGTTGGGAGCGGCAGTGGCATCTGTCAGAGCCTTCCCGAGCGGAAGGTGCGGAGTGGGATGGGGGGAGGGGTTGCTGCCGAGGGTGTCCGAGGTTCAGTCGGTGTTGTCGGTTGTCGTGTAGTTGCTGCGTTGCTGCGCCTTTCCACTGCGCCTGTGGCCTTTTCGTGTTCGTCGGTTCTGGTTTCCCTGTTGGATATATTGGCTTTCCATAGTGTTTTTGCACGGAAGCTGAAGCATATACATTACCACTGGCGCGCTGTTTTTCGATCCCAGGACTTTTTGAGAGTCGGTCGGGGTGGTGTCGTGTATACGTTTTCACCGTTTTCCCGGGGAAACAACGAAACATGTATACACCAGGATCCCGCATACACCAGGATCCGCTTTGCTGTGCGAATTTCAGTGCGGAGCCGGCGAAAAGCGTCGGTGTTTAGAGTTCGGTTCCTTAGTTGCCGTTGACGGCCATGGTTGCAGGTCAAGGGGGAGCGCAGAGATTTGTTCGAATTGTTCTTTCAAGTTCATTTCTCTTGGTGCCCAAGGGATGTTCACAAAATCTATATCCGTCGCCTCGTTTCCGGCGCCTTGAACCCCTTCCCGTTCCGTCCCCAATCCGTTTCCCTTTCTTGTTTGTCCGTTCCCCATTGTCCGTCTTTCTCCTAACCGCCCCTTCCTCACCTATCTCGTCATTCCTCCCCGCCTCCTCCTGGCACTTCGCGGCTCTGGACCGAATCCTGAAGAATCCTCTTCTATCTCCTCTTCCTCCTCCTCCTCCTTTTCGACCTCTATCTACCCCATGCTTCACTCCTTTTGTCCCTCTGCCTCTCTCCTCTCCCGTGTCCTCCCCTTCCTCCTCATCCCGCTCCTCGCCCTCCCCATCCTCTGACTCGTCATTCTCTCGTCGCCCACCGCCCCTCTCCCTGATGCACATCCCGCCCCCGATGCACCACCGAATGTGGACCAGGATTTCAGATTGATGGAGTGGATCTTGGCTGTCTCTGGCGCCTGTGAGTCCCTTCCCCATCGGACACGTTGCTGCAAATTGTCGCACTGAGCAGAGGCCCGCCCGGAGCCAGACCCCGCCTTCCCCCCCCTTCCGCCCATTGCCGAAGCGACGCAAAAGAAGACGGACACGACCACGATCGTGAAGCATGACGTCCCCGACACCTACACATCTTGAGGCCATGGCTTCGACAGGGTAGACCTCGCACGAGCGCGGTGCACGCGTGCTCCTGGGGCGTGTGGCGATCACTCGGATGGAGACTGTCGGTTTTCTGGGACCCTGCGGTCACTCGGGTGTTATCGGGCCCGCTTGCTTCCCCTTCCCCCCAAGATAATCAGGAGGGGGAAAAACACACAGACACAATGAATCGTCGATATCCAGGATAATATGGGAAAATATGGGAAGTGGGGGGAAGAAAAAAAACACAGAAAATATAAGAAAATATGGGGAATCCTGTTATTTGTGTGTGTGTGTATTTATTTGTGTGTCCCAGGGCCCCTTCAGATAACCTCACTTTGTCGGTTGCGCAGGCCCGAAGGGGATGCTTGGCAAGTGGTGCGCGCGGGCACACACCATGGGGGCTGCCCAGAGCGAACCTGTCAGGAATCGGCCGGCACCCTCCCCCGTCCCCCTCCACCGGATGGCGCGGACAACCCGGGCTACCGCCGAAAAGAGTAGCGATCAAAAAGTAGGGCCAATCGTTTTCAGGGTGTGGTTCCCGCTTCAGTGTCGAGGGCATTCGCCTCGACAGAGCTGAACAGCTTCACGGATGGCGCGGCCGTCGGACTAACATAACACACTCCAAGAGCCTCCTCGAGTGAACGGCGGTCGGAGTTGGCTGGGGATCAGAGGTGATCCAACATCAGTGCGGGCGATACTTATATCCATATCCAGAGCATCTTTGACTTTTTGGGAAGGGGTGTCGCAAGACCGAGGCGCACTGGATAAGGACAAATTCGAACCTTGTGGGGCCAGCTCCTTATCCATATCCAGTGCGCCTCCGGCTTCTGGGGAAGAGAGCCCAACACTCCAAGACGCACTGGAGGTGGATATGACTATTGCCCGCAATGAGTCCTGGCGAGCAGGGAGGGGGGGGGGAGAAGTTCTCGAGGCTTTGGTGTCGATGCTCTCGTGAGGAGATCGTGAGCTGCTCTCGTGAGGTACTCTGGCGCCGATCCGTCACATTGGCCCGCAAGAGTTCTCGAGGCCTTGGTGTCGATGCGGCTCTTGCCTCCCCTGGCCTGGAGCGGGCGAGGCCGGCTCCTCGCCGGCGTGGGGCCCCGCGCCCCAGCGGCAGGGCCCAGCAGGGGCGCTCGTCCTGCGGGGGGCGGGGGGGCGCTCCCCGCTGTGCGAAGATGAGCACAGTCGACCCGCAGAGTAAGGATAGGCATCCCTCCCAAGGGTGCCCTTGCATCCTTGCTTCCCGGGTCCATCCCTGCACACTCTCGCTGGCCGCGGCCCGCTCGAAGCGCTTCGGAATGGGCGTCCAAGGGCCTTGCACCCTTATCGCGCATCCTTACTCTGCGGGTTGACTGTACTATGTCTTTCTAACTCAAGACAGACGCCCAATCCCAAAAACGCGAGGGCCAAAACAGAACGCAGGCTCCCCGAGACTTCGGGGAAGGAGATTTGGGGGCTTAGGGTTTTACCAGGGTGACAACGACGAACGCAGAACATATCCCGAAATCTTTGGCCGATCTTCGAACCCTCGGTGAATCCGCGATTTTGGGGTTGGGGATGTTTTTTTTCTTGGTCATGTCTTCTGGAGGAAAAATCCCGGGGAGTCCTGTCCAACAGGGGGGTTGTACGGAGGGGTGGTCCAAATCCTCGCTGCAGTTGTCTAAGGGGCGGCCATCACCCCTGGGACAACTTGTCACCAGCCCAGGTGTGCGGGTCGTCTTGTCGTTGTCCGGGGTAGGTCGTCCATGGGTTGTCCGGGTTGTCCAGGGGGGTGCCCGGTTGTTTGCTGTTGATCGGACCATCTTTCCATTGTCAGCCACGCGCAGAGGGGGGTGGGGGGAGGGGGTAGGGCTTCTTAGAAGCACCCCTGCTTCCTAGAAGGCGCGGGCCTTATCTATCGCGGGCCTTATTTATAGATCTAAGGCCAGCGCCTTCTAGGAAGCAGCATCCCTCTAAGAAGCCCTCCCCCCTCCCTCCACCCCCTTGTGCGCGCCGCCAGCATTGAACCTAGTACGTTGGGGTGATTCCGAAGCAAGGGACTTGGAAGGCAGGGGGGAGGGTGAGCTGCCCCGCCGCTGACGTTTCCTGCGACTGCCCTGGCCCCGATCATCCTCCCTCTTGTCCAGTTCATCGTCGGCCGCCGGCCCCCCCTCCTCCTCCGGCTCCTTCCTTTCTCCTCCCTCCATCCTTGCCCATCTCCTCCTCCCTATCCCCGTTCTCATCCTCCCTGCCCCCACCCCCGCCTCCTTCGAGGAGGTGGAGGAGGAGGAGGAGGAGGAGGAGCAGGAGGAGTCGCTACCTCCGCCTCCTCTGCCCCAGTTTCTCTCCACCTCCCCTGTGGTCAGAGGTCCCGCCAGCAACCTCGAAGGAGGAGGAGGACGAGGAGGATGAGGAGGAGGGGAGGAGGAGGAGGAGGAAGATGAGAAGGAGGAGGAGGAGGAAGAGGAGGAGGACGAGGAGGAGGGGGAGGAGGAGAAGGAGGAGGAGAAGGAGGAGGAGGGAGAGGAGCAAGAGGAAGAGGAGGAGGAGCAGGAGGAGGAGGAGGAAAAGGAGGAGGAGGAGGGGGGCGGAGAAGGCAGGTGGATGGGGGGGCGGGGCGGAGAAGGCAGGTGGATAGGAGGGGGAGGAGGAGGAGGAGGAGGAGGAGGAGGAGGAGGAGGAGGAGGAGACCCCTCCTCTTGCGCGTGCAGCCGTCTGCGCCCCGCGCCGCCCCAAGGGGCCCGCGGCGGTCAGGGCGCGCGCGGGGGGCCGCCCGCGCGGGCGGCCGCCACAAGCCGGCCGCCCTGCATTCGCTCTTGATTCGTTCACGCTTGCACGCTTGCGCTATGCATGCGCGCGCGTACTCACATCCGGTCGGGCCGAGGCACAAGATCCAGGTCGGTTCGGGGAGGATGCCTTGGTGTTCTTCGTGCTTGCTGGATGCTGTCGTGCATCCTGGGGAGGGTGCCCTTGGCCCTTGGCTGTTCTGTGTGTTTGGGAGGTGGAGGAGGAGGAGGAGGAGGAGGAGGAGGAGGAGGAGGAGGAGGAGAGGGAGGGGGAGGGGGAGGGGGAGGGGAAGGGGGAGGAGGAGGAAGAGGAGGCCGACGGAGTGTCCCGTTTTTTTGAAGGATGTCATTTTGGCCTAGGTCCGATTGCACACATACACATGTGACGCGCACGCACATCTATGTAATGTATATGTCGGAGGTGAGGGGGTGAAATCGAAGTGGAACGGAGAGACCCCCTACCGGGAAATCAATTTCGGTTTCGTGTTCGTGCGTGCCGTGCGTGCGGGCGAGGCGAAGCTGCGTGGGCGGGCGAGAGAAAGTCTCCTGTGGCTGAGGCGCGGCCTGACCAAATGATTCCCTTCGGGCGGCCGGGGCCCCGCGGTGTCCCGCCGGTGTCCCGCTGGTGTCCCGTGTGGCTGAGGCGCGGCCGGACCAAATGTCTCCCTTCCGGGCGGCCGGGGCCCCGCGGTGTCCCGCCGGTGTCCCGCTGGTGTCCCGTGTGGCTGAGGCGCGGCCGGACGAAATGATTCCCTTCCGGGCGGCCGGGGCCCCGCGGTGTCCCGCCGGTGTCCCGCTGGACGATGTTGATGTTTTGTTTTGATGATCGATAGTGAGATCGGTAGTGATATCGATTGTGAGATCGAACGTGAGATCGAATGTCAGATCGCTTGTGAGATCGATTGTGAGATCGATTGTGATACGGAATGTGAGATCGATAATGAGATCGATAGTGAGATCGATTGTGAGACCGAATGGGATATCGATTGTTAGATCGATTGTGATATCGATAGTGGGATCGATAGTGAGACCGAATGTGAGATCGATTGTGGATTCTATTGTGAGATCGATAGTCAGATCGATTGTGAGATCGATCGATTGAGTTAGTAGTGAGATCACGATCGGTAATGAGATCGGTAGTGATTTCGATTGTGAGATCGATGATGAGACCGAATGTGAGATCGATTGTGAGTTCGGTTGTGATATCGATAGTGAGATCGATAGTGAGATCGATCATGATATCGAAAGTGAGTTCGATAGAGAGATCGATAGTGAGGCCGAATGCGAGATCGATAGTGAGATCGATTGTAGTATCGATAGTGAGATCGATCGTGAGACCGAACGTGAGAACGATAATGAGATCGATAGTGAGTTTGATAGTGAGATCGATAGTCAGATCGAATGCGAGATCGATTGTGATATCGATTGTGAGATCAATAGCGAGACCGAATGTGAGATCGATTGTGGGATCGATTGTGAGATTGATTGTGAGATCGATAGTCAGATCGATTGTGAGATCTATCGATTGAGATCGATTGTGAGATCGATTGTGAGATCGGTAGTGAGTTCGATAGTGAGATCAATCGAGTGCGACGTTGGTCCCTCCCCCCCCCCTCACCTCCTTATCATCCGAAGGGTGGTCTATGCGGTATATATATGCACAGATGGACTTCGAATCTTGCTTCCAGTTTTGTTCCATGGCGGGGGGGCGGGGGGTGGGATCCCTCCACCCCCCAAGCCGGACCCTCTGGGCCCTCGGTCTCCATTGAGCTGGACCCCCTGGAGGCTCTCGCAGAGAGTACCTTGTTGACTCCGGGCCTCCTCGACGTCCCCGCGTGGCCTAGCCAGCGGGCCTGCAGTAGTCAGGAGAGGGGCCAGACGGCCCAGCGAGAGCCCAAAGCAGCTCCAGACACCCTCCAGACGTCCGAAGACGGCCCGAAGAGCAGCCAACCCCCTGCGGAAACACAAGTCCACTGGCGGGGCCTTCTTGGAGGGGCTCTTGGGTAGCTCTTGGGGCTTGTTGGCGGGTTCTTGGGGCGCCTGCTGGCGATCTTGGGGCCCTCTTGGGACGGAAGGCTCGAAATGTCAGTTCGAGTTGCCTTTCTTGACCGCTCTTGTGGCCCTGTTGAGGCTCTCTTTGGCCGTTCTTGGGGCCTCTGGGGCCGTCTTGGGGCCCCATTGGGTGTTCTTGAGCCGTCTTGGACCTGTATTTGGGGCTTCTTGGGCCGTATTAGAACGATCTTTGGGGCCTCTGGAGCCGTTTTGGACGCTGTGAAAACGGAAAAGCAAACTTGCGACACAAACACGTTTCCTAAGGGATCGGGGCGACATGCTGCCTCTTGGGGCCCTCTTGGGGGCTCCCTTGGAGCCATGTTGGGGCGTCTTGGAGGCTACTTTGGCAGTCGTGAGGCAATCTTGGTTGTCTTCGAGCTCCCCTCGGCGTGTTGGACCACAGCTTTTGCCAGCTGAGATGGCATCCCGGGCATCTTGGAGGGCACGGAGTGTAGATTTCGAGGCTCCCGAGGCCCCAGGGATGGGGTGCTTTTGTGAGCCCGTCAACCCGCCCACTCCCTGGTACCCCCCCCCGCTCCCCCCTCGAATCGGATGTTCCTCTCTCGGGCGGGGGGAAAGGGGGAGGGAGACAGCCGAGTATCCCACACGGCCTCTCACCCCTGGCAACGCGGGAGTCGGCGGAGAAGGCATTAGATGTTGTCAGTGCCAACGTTCTGTTGTAATTGCTTGATGCTCGGCTCTTCGATCGTCCAGGTGTCCGAGACCACCCAAAGGACACCGACAATTTCCCCGAACTACAGTGGGGGCGCGTGCCAAGAAACCAGTTGGATTCTGCCAGGGTGCCCCGGGTCTCTTTGATTTTGATGGGCTCCCAATCAGATCTTCATGATTTTCGATCGGCACATGTGGATTTTCACTGAACAAATCGCGTATTTCAGGGTTGGGTTTCTTGCGGAGGTTTCTTGTGGCCGAGCCCACACTGTAGCAAAACGGCTTGCAGACAAACCAAGAGAGCCCAAACACGATCCACCAGGACCCCAAATTGGCCCGTAGAGAGCTCCATGACGGCCCAATCTGATCCAAGGCGCCCCCCTACGAAGTTCTCCGATTCGCGACCCGGACGTTGAGGGAGACCGTGGTTCGCAGCAGGGTGGCCCGAGGAAGCCCTCAAAGGCCCCCAACAGGCGCCCAGGATGCCCCCAGAAACCCAAAAGAAGCCCTTGAAAAGGTTTCGTGAGGCCCACACGAGTTGTTCCAAGGAGGAGACTCCGACAACAAATTGAGAAGGACAGGGAAGGATTCGAAGGGTAAGGCGAGGAAGAGGAGGAGGAAACCAGATTGCAACGACTTGGAAAATGGCAACAAGGCGCAATTGTTGTTTTTGCGTCTTTAACTCTCGAAGCTCCCCCGCAGGCCGAAAATGGAGGACTAATGTCCGTGGCGCGAAGCGCTGATGCAGTCCCGTATGTATGCATTCACATGTAATACATGTCGGATGTCAGGGAGAGACCGAATTGGGCAGCATCGTGCCACAATTGGAAAATCGGTCCGTTTCGTGCGTGTCGTGCGTGCGGGAGTTCTGTTGGCAGCAGGGGTTTCAAACGTCAGGCCTGATTCGGTCATGCTCTTGCTGGCAGCTTGCTTCAAGATCGTTCGGCTAGCCTGGCTCGTGGATCAGAAGCCAGGCGAAGGCCGGCAAATCCGTGGCTGCTAAATCGGACCTCCGGGAAATTGTGTTTTTTTTTCCGGGAAGTGGCCCATGCACTATGTAGCGCGCTGAGTTCTCTTCCGGGAATCTGTAGGACGACGACGATCCCGCTCGCGAAGCGAGGCTGTGGGTCGAATAGCGTCTCCATCGTTGGCCAACGCATTTTTCAAACCTCTGGCCAGCACGCGTGCGGCTGGTCTTCGTCAGGTCAAACAATCTTCCGGGAATCCGTATTATCCTCTTGGGGAGGCCGCCTTAGCAACGGGGTCGCCAGCCCTCGCCCAGCTTCCGATCTTCGAGCGGGGCGACGAGCGCGTGGCGAGTCCCAGGCCCCCTCTGATGGACCTGTCTTCCACCACCACGACCCTGAGCTGGAGGGGGAGGGGGTCCTCCTCCTCCTCCTCCTCCTCCTCCTCCTCCTCCTCCTCCTCCTCCTCGTTCTCCACCTCCTCCTCCTCCTCCTCCTCCTCCTCCTCCTCCTCCCCCTCCTCCTCCTCCTCCTCCATCTTCTGGTGGTGGTGGCAGTGGCACGCGTGCCCCATCGCCTCCGCAGAAGTCGCCCGAGCACGCCCTCCTCCTCCGTTGGACGGGGCGCCCCGTGGGAAGGACCGGCGGCCCGCGGGCCTGCCCTCCCTCCTGACTCGGGAGCCCCCCTGCTGTCGGGAGGGGAGGGAACACACAGACACGACTGCTCCTCGATTCCCCAGAGAATATAGGAGACTATCGGGCGAAGAGAACTATGCACATGCACCGATCCTGGCAAGGCCCACCCTTGACCCAGGATCGGTGCATATGCCTTCCTGGCCAAGGCAGGAGGGCGTATGCACCGATCCTGGGCTCAGGATGGGCCTGGCCAGGATCGGTGTATGTGCATAGTTCTTTTTCCTCTAGACTATGGGACGTGGGGGGGGAGGGCAGAAGCCCAGGAAGCATGGGGAAACTATGGGGAGTCCTGTTATCTGCGTGTCTCGATCCGTGTGTCCCCGGGCCCCGTCGCCCTGTTCCCTCGGGGGCCCCGCTTCTGCCCCGCCCTCCCTTCGGGGGCCCCCAAACGTTCAGTCGGGCCTGTCCCTCTACAGGAGGACTATTCAAACATGCAGTAAACAGAAACATAGCCTGGGGACCACTTTTCGATTCTTGTCTGTCCATCTTGGGGTATTTGCTTACACTTGTTTATTTTTCCTCCAGAATCCCCCTGTAGGGAGGGGGACAGGCCCGACTTAACTCAAACGGGGTGGTGACCACACCGTGCGGTGAGTCGGTGTGGGTTCGGGGTCACCGCACGGTTTTGGGACCCAGGGTCCTCTCCGAGGATGTCTCGGGCGACAGGGGCCTCCAGGGTCCCAAGACCGGGGGATTTCGAGGTCACACGGGGGATTTCGAGGTCACCGCACGGTCTGTCACCGCACCGTTTCGGGACTCCAACTTCTTCTGGAGGGCAGCCAAGAAGGGGCAAAGGCATGATCATACCGTATGGTCATACCTGTTTCCCCCTTCTTGGCTGAACACGCTGAAGCAACGTGTGAAAACGCCCAAAAATAACCTCTGTCTTTGGGCGTTTTTAGTTTTTTTGGCGAGACCGGATAACGCTAAAGCATGGTTTCCAAGACGCCGAGCTGAAAACGCCAACAAGCGCCTTGGGCATATTTCAGGCGAACCAAGATCATACGGTTCAACGAGGCGTCCAGCGCGATTCCCGTTTTGAAGCAGGGCCGCTATCACATTGCGTTTTTGGTCGCCCATGTTCGGGAAGTCTCGAGCGAGAACCCCCTCCACCCTCGTAACCGTTGCAAGTTTTCAAGACATTGTGAGCAGGAACAACCATCAAGTCTTTCTTGTAGCCTTTGTAACGGCGGTGAGGCGAACGCGCTAGGCGCTGAGGCGATCTTGACAAGAATAACCTGCTCCATCCTAGCAACTGCTGCAACCTGATTACAATACTGTGTCTGGCGTGTAATTAAGCAAGGGCTAGAGCTCAAGTAAGCAACGGTGTGTGTTTCATTCTAGTAACTGCTACAAGCAATAAGGCAATTCTGCGCGGCATTCAGGCAATAGCCACATGTTTCAAACGGCTTGCTGCAATGTCCTACCAACACGTCTGGGGGCGCGACAGGGAGGCGCTATCTACAAGGAAAAGGGCTGGAGGAGGAACAAGGAGTGGGGAGGAGGATAAGGAGAAAACGGGGAGGAAGAGGAGGATGAGTCGAAGATCGTTGTTTGACATTGTTGGCTTGGGACCTCCAGACGTTAACACAAGGGCTCCGTCCGCGTGATCCTCGCCCCTCCTCCCTTCTCTGTCTTACTTCCCCGTTCCTCGTTATCCGATCTCTGCCTCCCTCTTTCCCCTCATTTTGATTTCTTCTCAGTGCTCGCTCCTCGTGCCTCTCTTGGCATTCCTCCTTCCTCGCCGTGCGTCCTCCCCCGCCCATATAATCATGTCGCCTCCTGGTTGTCCCGATATCGTTCCTTGTGGAATGGCCAGCGAAAGCCCCGATGTGGCTCTAACGTGATGGGGGCTCCAAGCAGCGGCCGCTTCCGCGGAGGAGAAGGGTGGGATCGAGGACGGGGGGGGCGAGGCGCTGTAGGTGGAGGCCGGGGGCGGGGCCGACGTCCTCTTCTCGTCGGCGAGCGAGGGGGGGGGCTGAGAAGGAGAAGGCCTTCTCAGAAGGTGGCGGGACTTCTCGGAAGCCCTCGCGCCTTCTGAGAAGTCGTCCGTGCTTTCGGCCAAGGCTCAGAGAGTTTCTCTCGGAAGGCCTGGGGCCCTCCGGGCCTTCCGAGAAGGCCCGCCCCTGCTCGCTTCCCGCCCCAGGCCCGCCGCCGACCCTGGGCCCGCAGTCGGCCAGAGGAGGAGGAGGAGGAGGAGGAGGAGGAGGAGGCAGGGGCAGAGCAGACTTTGGTCGGGCGTGTCCCTCGACAGGAGGGTGTTCTGGGGACGACCTTGTTTCCGGCTATGGTTGAGCATTTGTTGACTCCGTTCGATTCTACCTCCAAGATCCGCCTGTAGGAGGACATGCCCGACCTAAGAGCAGACCCAGGAAGCGACAGCGATTCTGCACTACAAGCTCCCGTCCCGAGCTCAGCCTCGCGGTGGACCTCACTGGGATCTCGGCCTTGGGGTTAGCGCCTCCTCAAGTGCCATGCCGAGGAAGGCGACGATTCTGAAGAGGCCTCAGCTCTCTCCGAGGCCTCGGAGGAGGGGTGCTGAACAGCCTCCTGTGACCATCTCATCCCGTCCCATTTCCCCTGTAAGTCTTGGAGCAGGTTCGCGACGCGTCTAAGTGGCCGATTGCGAACGAGTTGCGTTATGGAAAGCCGCGATCGTTCAAGGGTAGAGGATTCACGCTGTGTGAGAAAGGACCGCCGGCGTCATTGCGACGGGAATTTTCTGTACATGTCTTCGGCTTTGCCCCGGGAAACATCCCCCTCGAATGCGAGCGTACCCCGCCATTTAGGCGAGAGTCTCCTATTGGAAAGGAGCCTCCCTCCGATTTAGCCGTTGGACATGGTAATACATAGGGCCACACAGTCCAAATAACTGTTAAGCGAGAGGGCCGTTGTGAACATACCATTTCCCTCTGTTTGTGTAGCTCGAGCAAGAGCCCTGTTTTGAAATTGAATCGCCTTTGATGTGAGTAATTGTTGCACTTGTTCAGGGTTGTGACAGATATCAGGACAGGTCAAGCAATATTTGTTTAACCTATGTTTGCAGAGTCCGCTTGACATCAGCGTAATTGTTGCAGGCGTCGAAGACGAATCCTTCTTTGAGCTGATGATGTAGAGGACCACGTGTTGTAGACGACTCGTGCTCCACCCGTGTAGTTTTCGGATACTTCACAACGAATATACGCGGTGCCTTGGCGAGAGAGCCAGTTTTTGCGAACGATCTGTCTTCCATCACGGCGCATGTTGCAATGTGTGCGGCGAATGTGCGCGACGCTAAGATTAGCGCCACATTCGAAGGCATCAATTCATGACAATCAACTGTGTTGGAGTCTCAGGCGTCACGTTCGGCTCGCCCTATCGACTCGTCAGGTGGTGCGACGGTGAGGCATTATACACAAACGAGGAGTGTAAAAGGAGCAGGAAGCAGGGATAACAGTCAGGCCACGCCACGCAGCTCCTAAATTGGACCTCGAGAGCGCTGGGCGATCCCCGCTTCAAGTGCCGACTGTCAGCCGTGTGTGGTGCATGTTGAGGGTGCGGTACAGCATAATGTAATTTGGCCGTGCAAGCATGTGGGTATTTGTGCGATTTCCGAACCGACCTACGTTGCGTCGCCACGCTTGCTATGGCACCTCGGACGCTTTCTCTAATCTATTCGCTAGACTTATTTCGCCTAGCAGGAGCATTCACACATTGTTTTGCTTGCTCCCAGGCTCGCGTTGACCAACTTGAGAGGATAACAGCAGCTGCTCACGACAGGTCGTTCAACCCACCAGGAGGAGGAAACGCGAGCATCAAGACTAGAACAACAATTCGGCATGCGCTCCTAATCGCAGTTGCGATGGGCTCATTTTGAGCATGAGGCCTCGTCTCTCTGTTGTAGGCAGGCAGAATGTGCCCAGTTACACGGGTTGTGCGGCCAGGGCCGATACACACTTGTCATCTTTTTGTGCCGCGAAGAGTTGACACGCAGTTCAAATGTTTCTCGGATTAGTGCGAGATGATGGTTCGAATGTTGTAACGCTTCCCTATGTTTTAACAGGTACCGCGCTTCCCGTTTGACTGCTTTGTTGTTTGTTCAGTTCGACCGTCGTTATTTTAATTTCTGTTCTATGGGGAGGGAGCAGAGGATGACATATTAAGGCCTAATAGGTTGGTTTTCCCACGTGCCGTAATCGCCACGCCCCCCGCCAGGCACCAATGGGGCTCTTCAAACGCTTGTTTGGAGGGTTCGCCTCGAAGAAGAAGGCGCCTTGAGCTTTCTGTGAGCGACAGTGCATCGATCCATGGTCATCTCGTCCATAGCGCCTGTCAGAGATTGCGCCAAGGATGCGCAAATCGCCAGTTGTGCACTTCGTGGCTTGTGACCGTGACGGCGTCAAGATGGAAACGCGGTTCAAGGGGTGATGCTTGTTTCAGGATGCATATCATGTTCTTGGCGTCATGGAAACGGCGAAATCGGGAACGGCGAGGGATGGGACATCATGTTCAAAGTGATTAGGCAAACCTTGCGTGTGCAGCTTGCCTTGAGAATGCCCAACGTGTTTAACCACTGATCGGTCTTGATATGCATGCACCCAGAGGGGCCGGCGCTAAGCTGGAACCATTTGAGCAACGAAAGAAGCGGGTTTGTCTCCACCGACACTGGCGCGCAAGCTGCTCGCGTAAGGTCGCGCGTGAGGTCGCGCGTTGGCGCCCTCGCTTCCAGTGTGGCGTGCCGCGCCATCGGCCCGCGTAAGCCACCGCGTACGGTCGCCACCCCGCCTCGCGCAAGACCCGTCTTGGAACGTCGCCCGCCTCGCGACAGCCCACCGCCCACAAACCACCCCAACCCAACCCGGAGGCCCCGATTTGCCCTCCGTTTCCGGTGGCGGGGGCGTCGGGGAACATGGAAAAAGCACATATGGAACCCGACCCCCCAACCCGAAATTCGGGTCCTCGGGTTGGGTTGGGGCAGCATGGTCATGCGCAGTTGTCTGTCCGTAGCTGGCTCCCGGGAGGCCTGGTCTGCATTCTTCTGCCGCGACGGCAGAGCAGCGGCCACGTGGGAGTCGACAGTAAAGCTGTAGAACCAGTTGTAATAGTGCTGCAGAAATGGCACCAGGAGTAGAGCAGTGGGAGTCGGCAGAAATGGCACCAGCCGTAAATAGTGCCGCATTTCGGCTCTGATTATCTCCTGTCTCACCCTGCTTGCGCGCCGTCGGGCGCAAGGCTGACGTTCGTTCGTTCGGGTTTGGTTGGGGTGGTCTGGTGGGTAGTCAACAGCAGAGCGTGCCGGGGCACCGACTGGCCGACGAGAGGCAACGGGGGGCCACGGGCCGCCGCTCGCGCCGCGCGGCGCGAGCCACGGGGGGGGGGCAGAGGCGGAGGGCAGGGCTGCCACCAGCGCGCTGCTCTGCTGGCCTTCGGCCGTGATTGTTTTTTCGCTTTGGCAGGGAGGGTACAGGAAAACAGGCAGAGCAAAGAGAACAACAAAACGAAGAGGGCAGGGTTGAGGACAGGGCCGGACCTCAGCGCTGTTCTGCTGGCCGTCGGCCGTGGTTTGATTTTCGCTTTGGCAGAGAATGTACAGGAAAACAGGCAGAGCAAAGCGAAGAACAAAACGAAGAGGACAGGGTTGAGGACAGGGCCTGACCTGAGCGCTGTTCTGCTGGCCGTCGGCCGTGCTTGCTTTTCGCTTTGGCAGAGAATTGCAGGAAAACAGGCAGGGCAAAACGAACAAAACGAAGAGGGCAGGGTTGAGGGCAGGTCGTACCTGAGCGCTGTTCTGCTGGCCTTCGGCCGTGTTTGGTTTTTCGTTTTGGCAGGGAATGTGCAGGAACACATTCAGAGCAAGGGAACAACACACAACGAAAGCAACACGAAACACAACGTTTGGGTCCAACCCTGGCCGATGACGTGTGTACAGTCGACCCGTAGGGTGAGGACGGGCAATTTCCCCAAGGGTGCCCTCGCTTCCGGTGTGGCGTGCCGCGCCAGCGGCCCGGGTAAGCCACCGCGTACGGTCGCCACCCCGCCTCGCGGAAGAACCCGCCTTGGAACGTCGCCCGCCTCGCGACAGCCCACCGCCCACAAACCACCCCAATCCAACCCGGAGGCCCCGATTTGCCCTCCATTTCCGGTGGCGGGGGCGTCGGGGAACATGGAAAGAGCACATGTAGAACCCGATCCCCCTCCCAACCCGAAATTCGGGTCCTCGGGTCCTCGGGTTGGGCTGCGGTGGTCTGGCAGGTAGTCAACAGCAGAGCGTGCTGGGGCACCGACTGTCCGACAGGAGGCAAGGGGGGCAACAGGGAACACTGAACAAAAACACATATGGAACCCGTACCCCCCCCCCAACCCAGAATTCGGGTCTTCGGGCTGGGTTGCGGTGGTCTGGGAGGCGCTGGAGCACCGACTGGCCGGTGGGAGGCAACGGGGGGCCCCGGGCCGCCGCTCCCGCGCCGCGCGGCGCGAGCCACGGGGGGGGCAGAGGTGGAGGGCAGGGCCGGATCTGAGCGCCGTTCTGCTGGACGTCGGCCTTGTTTGGTTTTTTGTTTTGGCAGGGAATGTGCAGGAAAACAGGCAGGGCACAACGAACAACACAACCAGCAACACACAACGAAGACAACACGAAGCACGACGTCTGGGTCCAGCCCTGGTTGAGGACGTGTGTGCAGTCGACCCGTAGGGTGAGGATGGGCAATCTCCCCAAGGGGGCCCTTGCGTCCCTGCCTCCTCGGTCCATCCTTGGCCACTTTCGCTCACCGCGCTCCGCTCGAGAAGCTTCGAGATGGCCTTCCAAGGCCCTTGTATCCTTATCGCGCATCCTCATGATACGGGCCGACTGTGCCCAACCAGGTCTTGCACCTGGGGGTTCTGAGTTGGGTTGCGCACGCAAGCAATTGAACGGGTGAGGCGGGGTTTCGTCTGGTACCTGGTTGGTTTAAACCCCTTGGGCGCCGCGGGGGCGCCAGCTGCGCAGGGTGCATCGCGTAGCTCGCACCACAGCTGGTACCACACGGATAGCATCACAGACCTTGCACCATTACAGCTTGCACCGCACAGTACACAACGTACAGCTTGCACCACGTACCACGCGCAGAATGCATCACACAGCTTGCGACGCATGCATCACGCAGCCTTCATCGCACAACTTTCACAACATAGCTTGCACCGCAGTGCTCGTTCCACATAGATTGCACCTCATTGGTAGCACCACATTGCTTGCACGACGCAGCTTTTACCACAGTTGCAACACTTGGAATGCACCATGCATCATTCACATACCGCATGGCACGCATTAATTGCATCATTGCGGTTCAACATGCCAATTGTTTGGGGCTCACGTTGGCAAGCATAGTAACGTTTCTGTTGTTCCATTAGGTTACAATTCCTTAAAGGTTGAATCCAGCATCAGCTCTGTTATATCCTTGGTCGCTGTCTGGCCTCATCTGGCTTAGCCTCCTCGATTCCGCTCAATGCATTAGTCGTCCTCAACCATTGCCTCAACTTGTCGTGATCTGTGTCACTGGCCCCTCCGTCAGGAGGAGGAGGAGGCGGAGGAGGAAGAGGAGGCGGAGGAGGAGGAGGCCCCCTCCTCCTGGTCCTCGCTCTCACTGGCCCCTCCCGATTGTCCCGAACTGTTCCCACGGAGACCTCCCAGAGGAGCTGCCTTCGCGTAGCTGCCCCCGCCGAGGGCCCGTCGGCGCTGCATGCGGGCCCGAGGGGGGGGGCCCTCGCGGGCGCCCGGCGGGTGCACGAGGGGATCGCCGGCTCGGTGCCGACGGGTCGAGGGGAGGGCGGTGGCGTGTGCGGACTGTGCCTTCCCACCTCTGGAGGGGTTCTCCGAAGGGCTTAGGCGACCCGTCCTCCTCCTCCTCCTCCTCCTTCAGCCTCGTTCCCTTATCCTCCCGTCCTCCTCTCCCAGCCGCCCTCCCTTCCTCGCCTCCCTATCTGCCCCCCCCGCTCCAATCTCTCCTCCGTCTCCATCTCTCTCTCTCTCTCTCTCCGTCTCTTCCCCCTTCCCTCCATCTCTGCCTCCCAGTACCGCTTACGGTACGAGCACCGAGGCGACAATTCCACAAACGGACAAGACCATTGCAAACGACTCCACGCACCAACTTCACAATGGTAGCATTGCGGGCCTTGCCAGACAGCGCTTAGGCACGCACGCCTTAGACGCCGCTGCCCGACGATCGATCAGCAAGAAGATCCAGCAGAGAATTAGACGGCAAAAGCGGGCAAGCCGGAGGGAACGACGCAAGTCCATTCTCGATGAGTACGAGGGCCTTAAGCACATCCGCGCCGTCAAAACCAGAAGAACGAAGACGCTCATTCCTGGCATGACGGGGGCAAACGGCACCAACAAGCAGGCGACGAGACAAGGGATCGCGAACGCATTCGCAGAGTTCTATGCTGACGTGTATGCCTCTTCCTTCACGGGCGAACGACCAGCGGACGCGACACGCCAGCCGCAACAGATTCCACCCTTCACGGAAGCCGAGCTCAAAGCAGCAATCGCACAAGTCGAAGGTGGCAAAGCGCCCGACACCATCGGCATTTGGGCTGAAAGTTTCCAACAGCCAGGCCCGGAGCTCCAGCGCGCTCTATTGCAGTTGCACAACGCAATCATCAAGGTAGACGCTGCTACGCCAGCCAGCTGGAGAAAAACCGCCATCACAGTAATCCTAATCTGCACAGGCTGCGCAAGTTCTTCAGCAGACTATTGCACAACAGACTACAACCAGCTCTGGACCGGCAACACCCTGACGACAAAGCTGGTTTTCGGCTTGGCCGGGGCACTCGAGACCACCTTTTAAGTTTCCACGTCCTACGAGAGAGGGCAGCTGAATGGAACCAGCACCTATGGATAGCAGCCATAGACTTTTAAGAAGCTGTCGACACAGTTGAGCACGACAGCTTGTGGGCAGCTCTACACGACCAGGGCGTTTCACCAGGGTGCGTAGACCTTGTCCGACGCCTATCCGTGACCAGACGGCCGTGGTACGCACCGACACCGCGAGCAAACCATTCGATCTCCGTCGCGGCACAAAGCATGGAAACTCGTTGAGTTCATTATCATTCAACGCACTACTCCAGCACATTTTGGCGCCGCTGGTCCCAGACTGGCAGAGAAAACGCCAGGGCGTTCAACTGGGTCACGCCGACGAGTCGACACTCACGAACCTCCGGTTCGCAGACGACATCTTACTGATCAGCCAAACACCACGCAATTTGAAAACAATGCATTCCGACTTGGTCACCTCTGCCAAGCCACATGGATTGGAGCTACACCCGACCAAGACCAAACTCATGACCAACCAAATTCGGCACCACGACTGGGCGACTGCAGTAGCAGGGATGGACGTCGAAATCGTACCACGTACCAGCACCAGTAAACACCTAGGCCAGACGATCGCCTTCCAGGACGCCCCCGCGACCGAAGTAAAACTCTGGATTCAAGTTGCGCGGGTTTGTTTTAGTGGCCATTGACAAGCACTCACCAGCAAAACCTACCCATTGCGCCATCGACTACGACTATGCAAGGGCACAGTCATCCCTACCACGACGTACGGCGCGGAAGCCTGGACCCTGACAGAACCTCTCAAGCAGCAGTTACGCCGGACGCAGCGACGCATGGTTAGAATGATACCGGAGAAAAAGCCCAATCAGAGTGTCTTTTGATATTACAATAGGCTACAGGGCTATTGGGCTACAGGGCTATTGGGCTGCACGCCCGGACACCCGGGCGCCCGGACACCCGGGCACCCGGGCACCCCCGGGCACCCCCCGGGCACCCGGGCGTGCAGCGAAAATCGGCGGCCAATCCTCACCCCAAGGCACCCCTGGGCACAGGGGCACCCGGGCGTGCAGCGAAAATCGGCGGCCACGCGAACCTAACCATATGAATCCCCCAGGAGACGCACTGCAGACGCACCACCACCGCACAGCGACACAGCAGCAATCCAGAACAACGACCACCACTACGACACGGGAGATGCTGTTCCACGCGACTCAGAAAATTCCAACGTATCCACCGACTCCGACGTTTGCAGCGACCCAACCACCGAACAAACCAATGTGCAAGATACTGACAGCGACGAGAAGGACACGCAGCCCGACAGCACGCAGAATGACGACTTGGAGTTGTGCTCGGGCTTCATCTGCAGAGGCACGAAGAGGGCGGAATCACTCATGCTCATGCACAACATAATTACAAAATGTATTGCAGATTCATCGCAGCCTGGTGCGACGATGAGCGAACGCCGTTGCTCACCACCCCACGACACGCTGGACCCAGAGAGCGCTTGAATGGAACCCGCATCTTAATGTACGTCAACGTGGACGACGGCGACACGGGGGACAGCCAAAGCGGTGGGACGGCAATATCCGGAACTTCCTGCACAGTTTGGACAGCGACGCGGGAGAACAACGCATCAGGGCAGCCACCCAACGTAGACATTGTAAGCACAACAACACGCACGACCTACGATGGATCCGGGCCGCTGTGTGCACAGTGTGGTGCTCATCATATGAGCGGGCATACGTTTCAAAAGTTTGACTAGAAGATCTTCCTGCCGAGGCCGTGGTCTCCACGCCATGCCTTAATGGGCACGGGCGAGCTCCCCAGAGAAACACGCACGACTCTGGCGTTCGTTCGCTCGTTCCCTGTACCGCTTCCATCCCTCCTCTCTATCCTTTCCCTGCTCATCATCCTCTTCTGGTTGCCTATCTGCCTTCCCTCCTGGTCAGCATTGTGGCCGTGGAAAGGTGCGCATTGTCGTGGTCGGACTCGACAACAGCGGCGACAGCCCCACCCCCATGGGAGGAGGTGGAGCACGACACAGTCAGATGTCTAAGCATGTGCGAATCGTCTCTTGTTGGTGGGTCCATTTGAGGCCGTACTCTGGAGAGGCCCGGTCTTGGGTCCACGGTCACGTTTGGCGGATCCCGCAATCCTGGGAGCCAGCATCTAGAACGAGGGTTCCAGGGCCTGAAAGTCAGAGGTGGCCCTCCGCCGAGAGCCACGGATATACACAAGTACGGGCAAATATGGGCAAGTATGGGAAATAGAGGGAAAAACAAATGCCAGGAAATACGGGCCAACGTTGGACCTCCTGGAAGTTTCGTCGATTGATCCATGTCTCCCCGGGCCCCTTTGGAACGCCCATCGCTCTCGGCGGATGTTTCCCTTCAGCCGTTGGGTGGGGCGGGACAGCGACGCGCAGTCGTACCTGATGGGCCAATTCTCCACCACCACTACCATAGGTAGGACGGGGGAGCTGCTCCTCCTCCTCCTCCTCCTCCTCCTCCTCCTCCTCCTCCTCCTCCTCCTCTTCATCATCATCATCATCATCATCATCATCATCATCATCATCATCATCATCATCATCATCATCATCATCATCATCATCATCATCATCCCCTCCTCCTCCTCCTCCTCCTCCTCCTCCTCCCCTCCTCCTCCTTTCCTCCTCCTCTCCTCCTCTTCCTCCTCTTCGTCCTCCTCCTCCTCTCTTCCTCCTCCTCCTCCTCCTCCTCCTCCTCCTCCTAGTCCTCCTCCTCCTCCTCCTCCTCCCTCTACCTATGGTAGTCAGTGCCTCCAGCAGGACATAGTTGACCCTGTGTCGGGCTCGAGCTCTTACGATGGCGGGGCCGGCTCGCTGGCGCAAAGTTGCGTCATGAGAGAAGGCTTCGCGGGCGAGGTCCCCGAGTTCACCCCCAAAACAAGAATTGGCACAGGGAAAGTGATCATGAGTCTTTACCACGAGTCTTACCTCAGGGCTCGTGGAGGCTCCCAGGCAACCGAGGACAGCGACAAACGCCCAGGAGAAGGAGGCGGAGCAGAAGCAGGAGGATGAGGAGGCGGAGCAGAAGCAGGAGGGGGAGGCAGGAGGAGGAGGAGGAGGAGGAGGAGGAGGAGGAGGAGGAGGAGGAGGGGGCGGGAGGAGGAGGGGAGGAGGAGGAGGAGGAGGAGGAGGAGGATTAATTTCTTCGAGGACCCGTTGCCTCAGGCCAGAAGCGGGCAAGTTCCGGGCTGGGTGGCGCCCCGGCTCCGCGGGCCAGGTGCATCGCGAGTTCGGGAGGCCGCGGTGCAAGGGCGTCCACGGCTCGATCGGATCGGCGTCGTCGGAGCCAGCTGCGCTCGGTCGGTTCGGTCCTGGGCGAGCGCTGTGGAAAAGGGGTCCTGCAGGATCCCTGAAGGAGCCCTCCGGGGCCCACAAGGGGGCCTGCAGGGACACAGGGATCTGCGCCTTTCTCCCCGCCCCCCTCCTTTCTTTTCTGCTTGCGCCCCCCTCCACCATGAGAAGCGACGCCCGCCGGTCTGGTCGTCTGTTGCCTGCGCCCCTCCAGGCTGCCTGCGGCGCCGTCGATGCTCGGCCGTGCTGTCGCTGCGGCCGGCACCGGGCCCCCAAAAGGAGAGCAGCGGTCGCGGCCAGGCCGGCCAGATCGGGCGAGGGCTTGGGCCGGGAGCCTCGAGACGGGGGTCAATGCAAACGGGGGTCAGCCATGGCGCCCGATCTTGCAGGATCCTGCAGGGGCAGGGTCGCATTGAACTGGGTTTGGGTGCAGGATCCTGCAGGATCTTGCAGGATCCTTCGCATAGACCTGGGCTTGGGTGCAGGATCTTGCAGGATCCTGCAATTCCTGACTGACCCGGGTCTGGATTGACCCGGGTCAGAAGATCCCCAACCCGGGCCGGGAGCAGGGGCCCTCGGTGGATCCTCTCTCTCTACGGAGCGCGCCACCGGCGCTGGGGCACGGGCTGCGACGGCTGCTGGTCCGAGGCCAGAATTGATGCACGACCACCGCCCGGTGGGTCAACACGCGGGGATCTCGGCAGGCGGTGGACATGGACATCTTCGGGCCCCCGGGGGCCAGATCCACCGCCCACTGGGGCACCAGGACGTCGGTTCCCAGGCGGTGGATGTGGATAAACCCTGGCCTCGCATGCTTGGGCGTTGGGTGGGGCGGTGCCGAGCGTTGGTTGCCCCAACGGGTTGCAAAATCCGCATAAACGTCATCCCCATCTCTCCCGCAGGAATATTCAAAACTAGTCCCAAAAATAGTGTTCGGACGACGTTTTGACTGTGTTTGAATACTGTTTGAATATATTTTGACTGTTTTTCATTTTTCGTCCAGAATCCGCCTGTAGGAGGACGTGCCCGACCTAAGACAAGTAATTGAGTGTTGAGGGGAGTTAAGGAATGGAACCAGGACCGTGACACTGCCGACGATTGCAGCGTGCAGTTGCGAGAGAGTGGTGGACAGGGAGGGTGCAGAGTAGAACCAGGCGGGTGTGTGTTCGGTCCATGCGCAGTTTCCGCGTGGTTGTGCGCACTACAGTCGGGGCGCTGAAGAAGGAAATCTTATCGTTTGGGAGGGGTTCAGTGTTCCTTATTTGTTTTGCAGTTTGCCTTCGGTTGTCCTCAGGTTTCCAATGGGACATCAAAGTATAACTGATTGACAAAAGGGACCTCGCTCCTCATTTGGGTTATTTAGGTCAACTTCCCGACTGTACCGCCGAGCCGCGCAGGCAAGACAACGGTGCTGAACTGTCTGAAGCCGAAGAAGGTGCCCGGGATAAATGCGCGTGCCTTCTCGTCGAGGCAGTCCTTCCAGAGTTAAGCCAGCGAGACAGCTCCTCCTCCTCCTTCTCCTCCCCCTCCTCCTCCTGCTGCTGCTGACGGTTGATGAAGGTAGTCCTGCAACCGCCTCCTTCTTCTCCTCCTCCTCCTCCTCCTCCTCCTCCTCCTCCTCCTCCTCCTCCTCCTCCTCCTCCTCTTCCTCCTCCTCCTCCTCCCCCCCCTCCTACCTATTCTCTCCCTGAGCCCTCCCCGCTTCCCGTCGTCGCCTCCCCTCCCTCCCTTCCCGCCGCCGTGCGATCGGGATGTCTCTGGGGGGGTCCTGGGATGAGCACCACGGGAACCGGGTCTAGATCTAGGGTTGCAGCCGGGTTTCATGCGATGTTGGAGCTCTCGGGTAAGCAATCCCGCGCATTGGATGTCGCAGCGTCGATCACACATGGGTATATACATATGCATATATATATAGAGAGAGAGGGAGAAAGGGAGAGGGATATTATCATATACGTATGCATGTGTACATACATCTATACACGCATGTAGATAGGTTCATAATGATGTCCTCTCGGTGCACTCTATGGCTGACTTCCCTCAGGGCTGTTTCCTTATCCGTTGTTAGTTCGCGAGCATGTGCTTATTCGCGGCCATGACGGGCGTCTTATTATGTGGGGCGGGGAGGGACATGTTGTAAGGCCCCCCCTTTTGGCTCAGGCACCACAGCGCCTGTGCGCATCACAGCATGCACCACACTGCGCAGCGCAGCATACACCGCCGCAGCCGCATGCACGACATCGCCGACGTACTGCCCAGCGCATACGTGCTCCACAATGTTTGTTCCTTCGCACCCTCCCTCGAGCATATCCAATGGCCTTCGGCACATCCCGCCACCGTGCCTGGGTTGTGGGTATAAACCTAGTGGATGTCCGTTGGGATCTCGCGGGGTTCTTCTCGGGGGCCTCTTGGAGGCAGTTTAGTTTGGAGGCCTCTTGGGGCTGTTTCCGGGCCTCTTGTGGGCCGTTTTGGGGCCTCTCGGGGCATCTTTTGGGTCCATTGGGGGCCTCTTGGGGGCTCTTTGGGTCTCCTGGGCACCTCTAGGGGCGTCTTGGGGCGGAAGGCTCGGATTTTTGGTTCGCGTTCTTTTGGCACCGTGTTGGGGCCGTTTGGGGGCCCTCTTGGGCCTTCTTGGGGCGGTCTTGCCGGCCTCCGGGGCCGTCTTGGAGCGTCAGGAGCTCGAAAAGGCGAGAAGGTCAACAACCTTCAAATACAGACGGGAAAACACAGAGGTTTGCCTCTCGGGACCCTCTGGTGAGGCCTCTTGGAAGCATCTTGGGCCGTCTTGGCGGCCTCTTCGGCCGTGTTGGGCCCATCTCGGGCGTCTTGGGGCGATCTTTCGGCGTCTCAGGGCCCTTTGGGACCGTCTTCGGAGCCGCTTCAAGGCCTCTGGGCCCGTGCTGGGGACCTTTGGGGCCCAAGCCATTCCTGCGACAAGACGCCGGGAACCCCAGGGGGCAGGCGACAGGCCCCGAGAGATTCGGCAATTTTGCCCTGGGCCCCTGAAGCGGACTCCTCAGGATTGAGGGCACGCCCACTCCGCGCCCAGCTGCCATGTGGCAGATTATGTGCTGGTGTTTGCTGCCGCTGTGTTGGATCTACTTTGCAGGGTGCTACAACACTTTGCCTCTACCGCCTCCTAGTCAAAACGTAACACGAAGCATGCTTCAATTTTGTACCGCACTGCCTGTCCCGATGCATGCAGCACGCGTGTGCCACGGTGTTTGCGTGCACCACGGCGCCTGCGTGCACCACAGCAGCCGCGTTCACCGCAGCGCCTGCGCACACCGCAAAGCCTGCGTGCACCACAGCGCTTGCGCACACCACAATCCCTGCATGACACCTCTGTTTTAAGGAATGGGTTCTGGGAGGGGTCTTGGCACCCTTCGGCCCGTAGGAAGAGGCGGGCAACAATGTTGCCTGCAGGCACGCACGTTACGGGTGAAAAGGTGTTAGAATACGACTACATGTTTGTCGGCACCTGGGCAGCTTGCGAGCACCGCGACGACGACTAAGACGACGACCGCGACGAATTCGAAGACGACGAGGAGTACGATTGTCACGACGACGGTCACAAAGACGACCACACGCCGATGACGACATATTACGACGACCAAAGCGAATGCGACGACCACGACGACTGCGACAATCGCAGCAACGATCATCACGACCACAAGACGACCACGACGACGATTACGACGAGACCCCGTCGCCCTCCACCCTCTCCTACTCCTCCTCCTCCTCCTCCTCCTCCTCCTCCTCCTCCTCCTCCTTCTGATGTCCTGCCATTAGTCTTGCCACCACTACCCCTACCATAACACTCGCGGCCCTGCCAGCACCAGAATAACGCGTGAACCCCGCGCGCGTGCGCAAAACATGCCAGACCCTGCATGTGCGACAATAGCCTGCGAGCGTAGCATCATGTCTGCGAGCACGGGCAGTGAGCCTCTCAACGCCACGCTAGCCCACGATCGTTCAAATAGCCTGTAAACACTACGGTAGCTTGCGGACATCATAATGGCAATGCCGAGCGCGGACTACGTGGGGGCGTATGCGGGGGGTGGGGGGGCATACCGCGCGGTATGGTCCAGAGGGTTAAACTTTGCCTGGCGGAGAACCCCCCCCCCCCCTTTTGAACATGAGGCGACGACAAGCAGGACCGCTCAATACACGAGAATACATGGGGGGAGCTGCAGTAAGCCCGAACGGTTCGCCAGGGATTTGATTATGGTGCCCACAAGCGTGTGAGGGGTCTGGGAAAATGTCGGGGGGCGGTATTGGAACGCTGCCACTGTGGCCTTCGGTGGTGCTCCCTGGAGGCCACGACACGTGTGACTGGTGTGCCGACATGGTCGGGGGGCGGTATGCGAACGCTGCCGCTGAGGCTTTCGGTGGAGCTCCCTGGGGGCCACGAAACGTGTGAGGGGTGTGTCGAAATGCTCGGGGGGCGATATGCGAACGCTGCCATGATGGCCTCCGGTGGAGCTCCCTGGGTCCACGAGACGTGTGAGGGGTGTGCTGAAATTTGTGGGGGCGATATGCGAACGCTGCCACTGGGGCCTTTGGAAGAGCTCTATGAGGGGGCGGTATGCGAACGTTGCCATTGGGGCCTTCGGTGGAGCTCCGTGGGGGCCACGAAACGCGTGAGGGGTGTGTCGAAATGCTTGGGGGGCGATATGCGAACGCTGCCATGATGGCCTCCGGTGGAGCTCCCTGTGGGGCCACGAAGCGTATGAGGGGTGTGCCGAAATGGTCGGGGGGCGGTATGCGAACGTTGCCATTGGGGCCTTCGGTGGAGCTCCGTGGTGGCCACGAAACGTGTGAGGGGTGTGCCGAAATGGTCGGGGGCGGTATGCGAACGTTGCCATGAGGGCCTTCGCTGGAGCTTTCTAGGGGCCACGAAACGTGTGAGGGGCGTGCCGAAATGTTCGGGGGCTGTATAACAACGCTGGCGTAGGGGCCTTCGGTGGAGTTCCCTACACTTGGGATCGTTGGATGCTGTCTGGCAGCCGCGCCGTCGTTATCTTGATACATCGCTATCTTCATCCGCAGGCGCATTGATTCGAGCCAGCACCGGGCCCCCCCAGGGCGCCCGCCGTCGGGCGCATGGGCGCGTAGCCGCCCGCCTCGGCGTCGCCCGTGCGCCCGACGACGCCGGGCGGCAGAGAGTGGGGGCCATGCGCCAGGCCATCCTGGCGGCTTCTGCCCTGTCGGGCGCCGACCGGCCGGAGGTCGACGCCGCGCGTGTGCAACCTGCCCGTGCGGGGCAGGAGGGCCACGACGGCGCCGCCGCGCCAGACGGCGCGGGCGCGGGCGCGGGCGCCGACGGCGGGCCCGCGCAAGGCGGGAGGGCCTGAAAGTTCCAGGCCACGTAGCTGACGACAACTGCAAGCACGGTGACTGGGCTTCCCAGGACGACGCAGTCCTGCGGCCGCTGTTCGACAGGTTCGTGGCGGGGCCCGGTGGCAGGCGAGGGGGCCCAGCGCCACGGAGGAGGATTCCACGAGGCGGGGCATCACGTTCACATCCACGCCTTCCTGCACTCGGAGAAGCAGCGCACCGACGGGAGGGCAGCGATGCCTTGGCCGATGTTGTACTCGAGGGGACACGGCCGCGCTGCGAGCCGAACTCCGCCCGCAGGCCCGCCCACAAGTGGGCCGCGCGCATGGGCCGCTATCGTTGTGGAAGGCGATCAGTGGAGGGGAGGCGCGTTGTCAACTCGTGTTCACGATATCTTTTCCCACCCCCCCTGTGTGGGTTGTCATTTCGAATCGAGCACTGTCTGCTCCGTTTTCCCTCCCCCCTTCCCTCCTCCCTCCTCTTCCTCCTCTTCCTCCTCTTCCTCCTCCCTTCTCTCCTTCCTCTTCCTATTGTCGCCGTTTTCGTGGGCTCCTGGGAGGTCGGTCCAGCGGAGTGGAGGTCCACGCAATCTGCCGAGACCTCGCAGCTCCCTGCGGGGCTGCAAAAACCGCGCAACGGTCGTCATGTTCGTGGGCTCCTGGGAGGTCCAGCGGAGTGGAGATCCGCGCAGATCAGCCGAGATTTCGCGGCTTCTTGCTGGGCTGCGAACCGCGCGGCCGCCGCCATTTTCGTGGGTCTTGGGAGGTCCAGCGGAGCGGAGGTCCACGCAGATCTGCCGAGACCTCGCGGCCCCCTGCGGGGTTGCGAGCCGCGCAACTGCCGCCATTTGTGCGGGTTCCTGGGAGGTCCAGCAAAGTGGCGGTCCACGCAGATTTGCGGAGACTTCGCGGCTCCCCGCGGGGCTGCGAGCCGCGCAACTGTCTCCATTTTCGCGGCTCCTGGGAGGTCCAGCGGAGTGGAGATCCACGCAGATCTGCCGAGACTTCGCGGCTCCCTTGCGGGGTTGCGAACCTCGCGGAGGTCCAGCGGAGTGGAGGTCCGCGCAGATTTGCCAAGACCTCGCGGCTCCTTGTGGGG